CTGCATTACTCACACTACTATATAATAAACAATTTACTTAGTTACACACTAATCAATTAATTACTCATACTTTCTAATACTATGATAAAGTGACTAATGTTGTTAATTTTCCCTTTTGACAACATTTCTGTTTTACTTGTTAAATTATGTATGAGTCTGTTGTCAAGTGGTTAGTGATGGTTGCTGGCTGCCTTAACCGTTTTTTTATTTAATGTTATCGAATTATGACTATTAAACAGCGGTATACTACTGTTACCTTTCTTTAATTAGCTTATACTTGGCCGTAAGAAAATTCGCTGTACAGTAAGGATAATGTCCTGAACAAAATACAAAAGGAAAGTCTATATTCTCTGTAGACAATCTGATCTGTGCCAGGATCAATTGTAGACAATTATCATCTTTTAGTCACCCAAAAATAAGTTTGCGGCGTAAAACAAAGGATCCTTAGGTTAAAGAGTTGGTGAAAACTATTCCTTAGTGGATGCAAGGACAAACTTAGAGAATAAGACATTTGGAAATTCGATTGTGTAGTGGTGTTAATAGATTTGAACATTTAGAATATCTTGGTACTAGTAACGGCCATCGTAAGTAAACACCCGTAATATGTATTAAGACTCACATGAAATGCAATATGACAAAAAAGGAATCTAAAATATAGTCAAAATCTACACAGGGAAATTTCACTTACCTCAAACGAGCCTAGAAGTGAAACTCAAGTAAACTGATTTCACTAGAGTGTCATTTGAATCTAATTTACAAATTTGATTAAAAAAATGAAAAATACCAATTTTTGTTAATCAAATTCATTTGAAATTCACGTGAAAAATTTCACATGAGATGCATATGAATCTCAATTCATGTGAAATTCATGTGAAAATTTTTGCGTGAGTTTCCCGGGAACCAAATTTGCCTGAGGGAGTTTGAACCGTAGTTCTTCAATAATTTCTTAATTTGATTGCTACAGTCGAAGAAGGTATTGTAGAAGTTAATGTTATTTTGAATTCAATTATGCGACTGTCATACAATTAAGTTGGAGGTTTAGCGAGCTATAAAACCAGGTTTAATCCACCATTTCCTACTTAAGAAAATGTATGTACCAAGTCAGAAATATGACAGTTGTTTTCCATTCGTTTGATGTGTTTTAGCTTTTGATTTTGCCATTTGATAAGGGACTTTCCGTTTTGAATTTTCCTTACTTTTAAAAAATTGTTTAGTGCGAGTTCTTTACAATTTTTCACCAATGATCTAAATCAGCAAAATAAAAAAAAAAATATTCCTGAGTTTACTTAACACGGCCTAAAGACAAAATCGAGAATAACCGTTTAATTACAATTGGTCTTACCATGCAGAAAGAGGAATGCCCAATTTCATCTCGGTTTGTTTCACTCATGACATACGAAGATAGATGAAACCTGGTAAAATTCGAATAGTAAAAGATCGAAATACACCAGGGTAGTCATGGGAAAAAACATTACCATCGGCCCAATGTAAAAAAAAAAGGCTCCCAAATCTAGGTCGCCCTCTGGCAGCTTTGATAACCTTCTTTCACATCTTCATCATCCGCTAGGGTTACATTACAATACAACTTTTCTTTTTTCGGAATCTTTACATGATGAAAAGAGGAAATTCCTTCCAGTTCAGTTTTTAAATAAAGGAATTGATGCAATCAACTTCAGCAACGTTCTTCATCACATAAGGTAACATCTAAAATTCCACTTTCTTTTCAAAATCAGTCTGTTCCTATTGTATCCTACAGTTACACAAAAACATATAGCACCTAAAGTATTTAACTATAACCAAGCACTGCAGGACCTTGATTTAGAAGAATACCTAAAAACCCTATGCATGTGACTGTTTCCACTCGCCTTTATTTACAGCCCCTCTGGCCATGTTATTACTGGGGATCTAAACATAATTCAATATCAACATCTCCGTAAGGTAATATATCATGGTCCTAAGTTAGGAGAACCCCAACACATCAATTGGAACCATAACTTAAAAATAATTATGGATTCCATTGAGGACTACGCCAGAGCATAAGCTTAACAAGAAGAAGTCTCTGATAAAACGTCGAATTTATAAGTGGAAAAACTAAATGAAAGCTCGACCAAATTCCGTTTGGTTTTCCGAGACAAAGAAGCTGTGAAATGTCTATCATCTCTTCACGATAAATATGTTGTTGTTCCTGCTGACAAAGCTTCAAATTATATTGTCTTTGTATGAAAAGTGTACTTCTTCGAGTGTCTTGCAAAGAAATTAAGAATAAATGAGCACTCAGACAATCCCACATATAAAAACATATCATTTGACAAGGATGAGATTTTGACGAATCATAAGTCCTTTATGGCTTCAATGAACATTACATTGAACAGCAAATCTTAGGATTTACCTTGTTTGTATTGGATACCTAAGCTGCACAAAATTCCGTACAAACAACGGTACATTGCCGGCTCAACTTCGTGTTCTACAAAGGAATTGTCCATTAGATTGTTTTAAATTCTGTCCGCAGTGAAAGAGGGTCTTCGGCATACAGTGAAACTGTTTAATCGCGTAGTGGTATTAACCATGTGTGGATTCTAACAAACTCCGATCTTTCTCTGAAATTAATTCTATCAAAACTTTTGATTTTTCAACCCTGTATAACATCATTCCCCATGTGAAATTGTAAGATCGTCTAAAAGAAAAAAACCACAATGCTTTTCAATATAAAAATGGTAGCTTACTCTATATTTTTTTTTACTTTGTGATACCATACGGCATATTTTGTTAATAGTGAACAAAATGATAAAACATGCTACACAGAGAAACAAGTGATCTGTATGCTGGAGTTTCTTATTGACAGCTTTGTTAAATTTGGAGGTAGACTGTTTCAAGAAATTGTCGGCATTCCTATGGGAACAAACTGTGCTCCTCTCCTTATTTTCATTTGATCGGAGTTCCTTCGGACACTTGTCAAAAACAAGAAGATCAAAGTAGCAAGATCATTTAATTTCACATTCTGATATATTGATGATGTTCTATCCATTAACAATCCAAACTTTTCTGATAGTGTTCCATTAATATATCCTCTAGTTGCGGCTTCCTCTGCCTCATTTTTAGACTTATATTTCGAATTTAACAATGAAGTCATCTCGGTACCAGAATCGATGACAAACGAGACGATTTTAATTTTGAAATTATTAATTTCCCCCACCTTAGTAGCAATATACCAACTTCACCTGCATATGGGATATACATTTCCAAACTCATTCCGTATTCAAGAGCTTGCAGCTGCTACCCAGACTTTATAAATCATCACATGTGTCTCAGTCGAAAGTTTATGAGCCAGGGTTATGTCAAAGAACGTCTCGTCCTTTTTCTAAAAAAGCTCATCGGAAGATACCAAGACCTTGTCGATAAATATTCCGTATCAACTTCACAAATAATGCATGATGGTCTTGAAGTATATATTTTAGGTACTGACGTTGTTTATCATCTTATTTACGTGTTATAGTGTTCTTTTATTTGTCTTTGTAAATTATTAACCTTTACTGTTTAGTCCATTTTTGGTAATATCCTTTTGCCGTGGCTCGGTACTTATGCATCCCGCTAATGTATTGTGGTGCTGTGGTCTTTTTTTGTATTCCTTTCTGTTATTTTTGCTCATGTGCTATGTCTATATGCCATTATGTTTTTCGTTGTTGACATATTTGTTTGTATTTATAGTGATTAAGATTATAACACAATGTTGACTGCTGTACCCCTATTTTTTGACATTTTTACCTATTATGTCTGTATGTTTTGTTCACACATTGTTGTCAATATTATGGAATTTTATGCGACTGTCATACAAGGATAGGTTTAGCTAGCTATAAAACCAGGTTTGATATACCATTTTCTACATAAGGAAATGCTTGTACCAAGTTAGGAATATGGCATTTGTTTTCCGTTCGTTTGATGTGTTTGAGCTTTTGATTTTGCCATTTGATAAGCATGTGATAATGGACTTTCCGATTTCAATTTTCCTTGGAGTTCGGTTTTTTTGTTAATTTACTTTTTAATGTTTTAGGGACTTGTTTGACTGTTTGTTTTTTACTCTTGGTTATGGTGGTGTCGCTGTATCTTCAACTAATGGTTTTTGTGTTAATTCCTTTGATACAGAATGTCTTTTTCCTCTTATTTTAGTAAATATTCACAATTTGCGAAAGCATTGAAAATAACAGTTGTTAAAACAACTACATGCATTTATGATTTAACTAACGTTTTAGAAATATGTTACATGGGGGGAGGGTTGGGATCTCGTGGGCATGTTTGGCCCCGCCGCATTTTTGCGCCTGTCCCAGGTCGGGAGCCTCTGGCCTTTGTTAGTCTTGTGTTGTTTTTGGTTTTGGTTTCTTGTGTGCAGTTTGGAGTTTAGTGTGGCGTTCATTGTCACTGAACTGGTGTATATGTTTGTTTGGGGGCCAGCTGAAGGACGCCTCCGGGTGCGGGAGTTTCTCGCTGCATTGAAGACCTGTTGGTGGCCTTCTGCTGTTGTCTGTTCTGTGGTCGGGTTGTTGTCTCTTTGACACATTCCCCATTTCCATTCTCAATTTTACAATATTGTTTTCCATCAAGGTAAACATATTAGCTGTTCACTGTAGATTGTAGTAGTATTTGAAAGTGTCTGAAATAGATTCTGAGGAAATTTTGAACGTAATGTAATATTTTCGTTTTGTGTAACTTGAACTCTCTCCTTTTAACTTCTTGAAAAAATACTGAAATCCAATGTAAATTCAAAAGTAGGATGTCCATAAAAACAGACAAATTCAAACGTTAGTCTTTGTCAACAAACGGAACGAGTGAAAAACAACTGTCATATTCCAGACTTGGTACAGGCATTTTCCGAAGAAAATGGTGGTTTAAACCTGATCTTATAGCTACCTAAACATCAAACTTGTATGACAGTTGTTTATATTTCCGTTATATAAACAAAATGGGGTGAGCACTTCTTGTGTTGTTTTTCCTGATGCTGTATTTTATCATCTTTATATGGATATTATTAAAAAAAAAATAAAGGATTGAGAATAATGAGCAAACAAATAAAGAGTAGAGAATAATGAGCCAAAAAAAAACAGAGATAGACATTAATGATGTGCTAAAATATGAAGAAAAAGAGAATAAAAGGGACAAAATAAAGAATAGAGAAAATGGTACATAAAATTAAAAAATAAAGAAACAAAGACCCCATTTAGACTATCTAGATTGCAAAATGAATGACTATTCCTCACTGGTGGCTATATGTAAAAAGTCATAATAAACTTAAGTTTTTCTTCGCTATCCTTTATTTAGAACAAACGACACAGTAGGCAATCCTGTTGTCGTGATACGAAGGACAAGGAATAGATCCACATTTGTAACCGACAACGTAAAAAAGGTTGCCATTTTTGTCTTCTTGACCTGATGGTATGTACTCCGGATGGCTATCTACGCATAAATAAGTCGACGGACTGTGAAAATTGGCACCGGAAGATAATAACCCTATATATTCAATGTTCCATTTTCTGTAACACGACTTTCTATCCGGTATCATAAGTGTTGTTGCTGAGTGTTTCATTCTGCATACAACACAAGGCATGTCTTCCTGAGCTGAATCAGATGTAAAAGTGTTATGTTCGTATTCAGAGCCATAAAGCAAGCTTTCTGTATAAAAAAATGTATCGTTGAATAATTCCGGGTCATTTGGTAGACACAGTGTGTTAGATGAAGATCCGTGGTTAGGTAGATAATTCGATCCAGCTGCGTATCCTGTAAATAATATACATAAGTGCTCGTGAATAAAAAGAAATCAACACATACATGTAACATACATATGGATGCTTGGAATCAACCTGCATGAACTCTAATTTGTCTATCATTAAATGATCTTCAATACAGTAAGTTGACATTTGAAATTTTTCTTTGACGTTTGACGAAGTTATTTGATGCCGAACAAAAACAGACAGTGACTAAAAAGTAAAATAACAAAACAAATACCGAACTTCAAGGGAAATTCAAAACGTAAAGTCCTTTATAAATGGCAAAATCAAAAGCTCAAACACATCTAATGTTAACTGCAGAAATACAGTAAGTCCATTTATCAGTAAATCTCGGAAAAATGAAAAAGAAATATTTTCAAAATATTACTCTGGATAATGTATTTTTGGTCATGTAAAGCTTCTATCCAAGTTCCGTTAAATTCTAAGAAGGTTTGACTAAGATGTTGATCTCTTAAAAGATTTAACCACAGACTGAACCAACAAAGACGGAATGAACTATCGCTTGTCGTAGGGTCGACTATAAAAGGTGTTCGAAAATCTACCTAATACAAGAACGCTGTTAGATCAATTACAACTTTTATATCATGAGAGCATTGAATCAGACACTTGTTTTTTTTTTTTTTTTTTTTCATTTCCTTTTTTACAGTGTGGCAATTCGTCATGTTAGGCATTGATTCAAAGTTTGAGTTGATCGAATTCAAATAAGTTCGAGTTGCAATTCAAGTTAGCGGTCGAATTATAGTTTGAGTTACAGTTCGAGCAAAAGTTAGAAAACAGACAGTCAAAAGGAATAAAATGTACCAAAGACCCAAATTTTAAGACATAAGTTGATCCACCTGCCGTTTTTCCATCATTATTTACAGATAAATAGTCAAATAGTTAAATACAATTCTTTCAATATTAGTTTTATCCAAATAGTTGCCTTACCAAGATAATACGATGTTTATTTAAAGAATGCAATTGATGAAAAGAAAAGATAAATATTTGACTATATTCTAATAATATAACACGCTAAAACATAAGAGAATTTTTATGATATACAATCGTAGATGTGTCCCTTCGTCCGATTACATCAATTTCCCTGTGCAACAAATGATCTAATGATCGTTACTTGAATATGATTTGGTTAAAAGCTTCTTTGATAACAATAAAGTCGTTTGATTTTTTTTTACTATAATGCAGTTGTCTTTTGAGAGCTGTACCCCTTTAAGATTAGAAATCCGGAAACAGTTTGACAATTATGCAATCATCAATTTGATATAAATTGTGTAATACAATAATACCCTCAGGTATATGTCTAATAATGATCAACTTAATGTTTTTGCTGATGATCTGATTATTGTGGTGCTTTTTGTGACTGTTGTAATACAATTATTAAGCTATAGCTAGGTTCATACTTTCTAATTAGAACTGTGTGTCTGGCCCATGCCCAATAACTGACATTTTCTGACCAACCTTTGTTTATTCGTGCAAGAAAAATCCAATGGCAATGGCCGGATATTTACGTAGATGACACAATCATTGTTTTGTTTGGTAATCTTCATATTGAAATCGCAGCTTTTAAATTTCTAGATGGTTACTTAAAAGTAGCAATTGGGTAACAGCAATGACAGAAGCAGATATCGAATTTGCTGATGCTGCTGGGTGCTTTCTTACAGTTTCGAACCTTGCGAAAACGATGTAAGTTTGTCAATTAACTACATGCTGTCTTTTTGAATTGACGAAAATGACATATAAATTTGAAAATCACAATAACGATACCGTTTCTATTGGTTACTATTTGCATTGGTGCACAGATCTTGAAAAACGAATTCCGCAGTTTGGCTTTTCGAGCACAATTTTAAATTTAGAGCTGCTTGTCCTATACAGAATGTGATTTAAAAGTTTACAAAGAGTCGATGTTCATTTTCATTCCATATTTCTTTGCCATCGATCACATTACTTATAATCTGTGGCTGCCATATCCGCGGTATTATTACCATAAAAACAACTCTTTCAGCTGTTTATACTGAATTTTCATAGGGGAGTTTTGCTCTTTGAAAAAGTGCCATCACGTTTCAATCATTGATATTGATCAAGCTTAGGAACATAATAACGCACTCGTAAAAAGTGAGGGTGGTGCCATCGGTTTGACAAAAAATTCTACAGATCATAGGTGCTGGATGTTGACCGGTCTAGCGTTAATGAGACTTTTTGATGAATTTTCGGCTGTTAATGAAAATGTTCAAATAAAAAAAAAACAAAAAAAACATAAAACATCATGAAGAAACACAAGCTGCAAGCTACAAGTCATTCTTTCAAAAATTAACCTCTTTCAAGAAGAATCAACCGATTTGGAAAAATAGAGAGACAGTTTCAAACTCGCTGATAAAGGAATATGCACCAATGGTAGATTCAAAATCAACAGGACCATTTAGACTCTTTGATGATTATGATAATGATGTAGTTTCACCTTAAAAAAAAAGATATTTCGCACAGCAATATTGGGGAATAGATGTCGTCTTTGATATGTATTACGGCGACAGAAAGTAACAGGGCACGATAGTCGATAGACCTCAAAGGTCATGGATCAATTTTCTTTGATGTGATGAAAACAAAACTGAATTGTATCTCTATTTACAGAGCTAAATGTAGACATGCAATGGATAACTTTTAAAAAAGGAAAGGACTTTCGATTGATTCCAGTTCATGATGTAGCAAGATCGCTTAATCCATTAATGTAATGTCAGGCGCTTCAACTTTACCATGCATTGTCTGGTTGTTATACGGTTTCTGCTTTTGTTGGTAAAGTCAAAAAGTCAGCATGGAAGGCCCGAAATGAGCTTGAGAAGGCTATTGAAGTAATACAGCATCTCAGTCGTCAAGTGACAGTGTGAGCAAGGAGGGAATTAAGGAATTTGTAGTCATTACGTATGATCGATTCTTCCAAAAAAAAAAGTAAAGTAAGCAAGGACTTGTTTGCCCGTAAATAACGTTTATATAATGCCATTCCATCCTTAGGGCTGTCATACATGAGCATTTCAAGAGGTCAATTTTACAAGCTGGGCAAACTTGGGGCTACTCTTTATATCGTAATCAACAATTGCCTTCGCCGTCTAGATGGAGTTGGAAAGGGATAATGACGTTTGGATACCATATTGGAGATCCTTTTCACCCATAGCTGCATCTTGCATGGAACTTATAAATTATGACTGTAAATTTGATTCTTCCAGACACGGCAAGTGCTTTCGTTCCGGATTGTCATGCACTGCATTGTGTAGCTGTAACTGTAGTGAAGGTATTTAAAATAAGGGTGTTATATCATAGAAAAAACGCATGCGCAAAGCATAAAATGGCCTATATGTATTTGATCGAACAGAAAGAAATGTTACACAGTCTTAAATGACAGTAAATCAATGATAAGAAGGTAAAAAGGTAGGATATCTTAATTATTTTTAATTGTTATGACCAAATTAATCATCTTTTGAAATGTGGCGGCCATTTAGAAAAGGGCAAACATTCAAGTGGCTAACGATTTATTCGATAATGTATGCTATATGGGAGCAACAGATCGATTTTGGTGCTTTTATCATCAAATGAACTATTTCTCTAACTTCTCGCTCCACTATAAAGTTTTAATCTTAATTTAATAAAACTGTCACAGCATCCTTACCATACGGTGTACATTCTATTTTTTTTTTTTGGTCCGAATTATTTTTGAGGTTTCTCTTATCAAAGCATGCCCTTTGCCATTGCTATATTCAAGAAGTACCCAATTTGTATCACAACTCTTCCTAAGCCTCTAGTTACAATTTATTGAACAATGTTGAAACTTTCTCTTAATCTTAATTAATGATTTTGTGCAACTTCTATTTTGTTTTTTATCAATATTTTTCGTCGGTTTCCTTTACCGAAACATGGGCTTTACGAGGGGCGGGGTATAATATTTGTGTTATCTTTGCTTGCAGTACAGACCCTCTAACATTCAAACCAGTTATGTTTTAAAAACCAACTTTGTCCACTCTGCAAATATTGGCAACATATACATTATGTTTTGTTCTAAGAACAGTGCACTTTGTAATTTGTTTCAGTGCCCATCTTGGTCATCGTAAAATCTCTTGCATTTTAAATTCCATGCGCATAAAACTTTTTATTGTGTTTGATCTTAACTATATCCCGACTTTGAAAAATCTATCTGTTTCAGCGGTGTCATTTGTGATTCATGTTTGTCTTTCCTGACACAAAAAGCACTTCAACCAATCAGTCCTATGTTTTTCCTCAGAAGAAACTGACAGACGAATTCGATATTTTCAGAAAGTAAACAATTAAAATAATGTTCAATACTTGAAAATACTATGCAAAGTAAAATAAAAGCGCAAAACAAACTGAATTAGATAAATTGAATTGAAAAAAAAATCATTTCCCTCAAAATACAACAAACTAAATGTAATACATGAAATAATGCAATTAATTCCACTTGTATATAAGCTGTTAGGTTGAATGACTGATGGGTATTTTTTTACCACCTTCAAGTCAAACACTCTACTGAATTGGATACAACTAGGTTTGTCAATGCTGTTCAGACACCAAGTTTGATCGTTCATCCATCGTCATTTAACTAATGTGACACATATATACCTGAGCGTTTCTTTATTACAATATATATATCTTGAAATTTTATCTTAATTACGATATTTAAGATCATTCGAAAGACACATAAGCCCTCTTCATCAAATCGAATAAGACACAATTACCATATAAGGGGTGGATTGGTGTGAATTAAAAAGTCTCTGTGGAACAAAAGAGCAAAGCTAACACTGATTCCAAATATATACGCGTTAGTAAATTGCACCAGTGTGCCCTGCTTATTCTATGACATGTTTACTAGATGTTACTTCTTGTTAGAAGTATTTACTGGGATGTCTTTCTTCATCTTGGATTTTGAAATAACATATAACACTTGGTCTAGATCTTTAATAAATTGTGCAAATTTCGAGAGAAATATGTAAT